ACACACACACACACACACACACACACACACACACACACACACACACACACACACACACACACACACACACATTCATGCCCCCATTCTCCTCCCTGTTGGTCTTACATTTCTCCTCATCGGCTCCTCAATCAATCCACGCCTTTAAAACACACAAACATTTAGTGCAGTCTTTTGGCTCCTTATCGGTTGGTTTGCATTGGGCTTATCTAGTTGACATTGTTAAACTACTTTACCCAGAATGCTGTAGGAGAAATGGGCACAATGGTAGACTCGGGGTTGTCCTCTGGGTTAATGAGAGAGCCTTCAAGTTGTAGGAGCAAATACACAGCAAGGTGATTTGTGTGTGATTGTGTGTGATTGTGAAAGGTCAATGTGTCGCAGGAAGGTGTGGCAGCTTTTATTATATTTTCCCTCTCTGGAAGGAAGGGAGTTTTGGATATTTAATTTGAGGAATGCAATCTGTGTTCTTTTTCTGTTTTATCAAATGTTACTGAAGAGTTGCAGAGGAATCTTAATTGTGTGTAAAGATAAATGGTTAAAACTGACATATTAATCGTTTATGCAAAGCTGTGCATGCAGATGCTGGCTTCCAATCATGAGAAAGCTCCCCCTTTTAGTTATAGTCTGAGCATGTCAGAGAAGTGAATGGATGGCTGTCAGCTGGATTCTATGTGTGTGTTTGCTATGATGTATTCAGGTCATCATGTGAGTAAGGAGATCAGCGGTCCTGTCCGCATCACCTCATCCATCGTTCACATGAGCTGCTGTCAGCTCGCTGCTGCCCTCCATTTTGGTGGAAGGGAGAGACACTGTAAATGTCCCTGCAGCCAATCAGTATCGTCTCTACTTGTATAACATATTCCTCAGCAACAGATGGTACACTCACATAAATCATGAATGGTGGAGTAGCATTCATTCCCATGTTCTCCTACATTACAGCACCAACAAAATGTTCCAGGTTTTTCTTTTTCCCCCTAGGCAGTTTTATGACATGTTTCTCTTTCTGGTTTATTACACAGACAGTTAAACGGAATATTTCTAAATTGTATTTCTCTCTTCTACCATAGATAAGAAGATATATGTCAAGCCCAAGGTGTTTTTTTTTTTTAGATTTTTCTCTTTACTTTTACAGTTGAAAAAACTTTTCGGGGTGGTTTATCAAAAGGTTCTTTCATAATTAATTAAAGTTTTTGTTTGACTAAGGGCCAAAACAAGTCAGGTGGCTATTAGATAATACATGTATTAATACATGAACATAGTACATCTGAAGATCAAATGAACAGAAATCAACAAAGAGCAAACCTGCATGGCTTGAGGATGATATCAGGATGATGTAACTAAGGAGTGACTCAAATAGACTGAAGTTCTGGTTGGATTTGACTATTGTTATCAGAGATATCTCATTTATGATGGGTGCTCCCTGGCACAGACACATCTTTACAGCTCAGTCTATAGCTATAGTTATCACTAAAACTTAGTTTATTATTTTTTTTCCTCACAAAATCTGTTTTTAACCCCCCTTTTTTGTTAATTGGTCTCTTGCTGGTTTATCTGTCAGTCTTATTTTTTTATTGTTTCTTCCACTGGGAATGACCCTCATCATGATGCTGCCTCTATCATGCTCTAAAATGTGACATAGTATTGCTTCCTCTGGCCATAAAATGTTTGTCCAGAGGAAATGTAGTTGCCACTAAAGGTAGATGTAAATTTTAAAGTTGCCAAAGTTTGTTCCAAAATATACATTTTTCACTTATCTCAACATATAAGTATCAACGTAATTTATTCAGAAGAGGAAATCCATATCTATTATATATTCATTACACAGGGTGTAAAAAAAGTGGCAGCGGGGTGGCACAGCCTTGTCTCTAAATTGTCCTTAGATGTTACTTGTGTGTCATTGTG